CAGACTGCATTAGGGGTGTGCAAACTTGTTACTCAACATCATATTGAAACTACATCAGCACCACCTATAGCACATAAACCACGTCGCCTTGCACCAGATAAGTTAAAAGCTGTTAAATATGAGTTCGAAGCAATGATTAAAGCAGGGACAGCACGACCGTCCAAGAGCTGTTGGTCATCGCCTTTACATATGGTACGAAAAGGTTCTGGGTGGCGGCCTTGTGGAGACTATCGCAGGTTAAATGCGCGGACTCAACCGGATAGGCACCCAGTTTGCCATATCGATGATTTTGCGCAAGCATTATGTGGTAAGGTGATATTGATTTAGTGAAAGCTTACAATCAGATCCCTGTAGCTCAGGAAGACATTGCAAAAATTGCAATCACTACGCCTTTCGGGCTATTCGAATTTCCGTTTATGACGTTTGGCTTACGCAATGCAGCGCAAACTTTTCAGCGGTTCATGGATTAAATTTTGCGAGGTTTGGATTTCTGTTATGCATACATAGATGATATATTGGTTGCTTCGGAATCGCACGAACAGCATATGCAACATTTACATAGTGTATTCAAGAAGTTGCAAGAATTCGGTGTTGTAGTCAATCCAGCAAAATGTGTCTTCGGACAACCAAAAGTAAAGTTTTTAGGATATGAAGTCTCAGCCAACGGAACTAAACCTCTAGCAGACAAGATACTAGCTATACAAAATTACGAAAGGCCTAAGACGGTACAACAGTTACGTCAATTTTTAGGTATGTTAAATTTTTACCGACGCTTCATTCCGAAAGCCGCAGAAGTACAAGTGCCGTTAACCAACAAGTTGTGTGGTAATGTGAAGAAGAATGCTGTATTGAATTGGGATTCAAATATGGAGAAAGCGTTTGAAAAGTGTAAAAAAAGTTTAGCAAAAGCAACGTTATTGATGCACCCGCGTTTAAACGCTTCTCTAGCTATAGCTTGTGATGCTTCCGACCACACTATAGGAGCGGCGTTGCAGCAACAAATTTATGGTGAATGGGGCCCATAGCTTTTTACTCGAGAAAATTGAATGCAACAGAAAGAAAATATTCGACTTACGACAGAGAACTTCTTGCAATTTACGACGCCGTAAAATTTTTTAGACATATGGTAGAGGGAAGAGAATTTGTGATATATACTGATCATAAACCTATCACTTACGCGTTTAAAAAGAAAGATAGCCAGTGTACGCCAAGACAGTTTTGCTACTTTGATTTTGTTAGTCAATTTTCGACTGACATCAGACATATATCGGGTCAAGATAACGTGGTAGCAGATGCTTTATCCCGTATAGAGATAGTTAACAAATGTGATCTAGATTTTAAGGCGATTGCAGATGAACAACATAAGGATATAGACGTGGCACAACTGTTATTACATTCTGACCATTCTCTTAAATTAAAAAGAATTTTTATAGAAGAATTGGGAACATCGCTATTGTGCGATGTATCTCAACCAATCATTCGGCCGGCGATACCAAAAAGATTTCGCCGTGCTATATTCAATAGCCTAAATGGTTTGTCGCATCCTGGAGCAAATGCTACAATCAGATTGATAACGCAACATTATGTATGGCCTTCCATTAAAGAGGATTGTCGACAATGGGCTCGCAGCTGCCTAGATTGTCAGCGCTCAAAAATTAGTCGATACATTGTCTCAAGACCTGGAGTATTTCCATTGTCAGGAGCACGATTCGAACATGTACACGTCGACATCGTGATTATGCCGTTATCAGATGGATATCGTTATTGTCTAGCATGCGTAGATCGTTTTTCTCGTTGGCCTGAAGCAATCCCTATAGAAAATCGTAATTAATATTTGCTCAAAGTCAAATTGGACCTTTGTGTCTGCTCTACATATATACTTTTTATTAAATTTACTTTAATTCATCGAATGTTACTTGAAACTTTTTAAAAAGCAGGTCAAAGAAAAAATACTTAATTCATTTCTCATGTATCCTCGCAGAAATTTAAAAATTTTGTATAAGCTCAGTAGTTTTTTTTACGATTATACACAAAATCCAGAATCCAAAAAGAATCTGAAAATCTTGAAACGTAATCAATAAGTCGAAAGAACAGAAAAGACTTGGATTGGATTATACCATGTTTTATATAGAAAGTGTATAAAACTTCCAGTTTGATTGTATTGACAAAATATAGACAAACTAATGGGGTTTATTGTTTTTATATATATATATATATATATATATATATATATATATGTAATATTTTTGCAGCCCAATCATCGAAATAAAAAAAGATTAAACAACAAAATTATTTATTTCATTAAACGTTTCGACACTTAATGTGTGTCATCATTCAGTAATCAAACCAGGAAAAACAACAGAAAAAATTCTTCGATTAATGGTGGTTGTGATTGGTACGACTTGGAGCAGCAAAACCTGAAATCTTGGGATGATTTCAAAAATCATTTCAAGAGAGCTTTCATTCTAAGTGGAGAGAACTTAGGAACGAAATGGGATGAGAAAGTGGAAACAGCTGATGAAAAAATCAGAGGGTGCCAATGCGTATTATTATTCCAAAAGAAAGTTGTACCAGGCGTTAAACATGAGTTTGGAAGAAACAACACAGCAAGTACTTAGAGGACTGCTGAATAAGCAGCTATTTGTGATTTTAACTGCAGAGAAGCACGCCGACTGTTCCGAACTAGGTGCATGTATTTTAAAACATGAAACATCCGGATGAAAAAGGACTCCAGCAGACTGCAGACGTCCCCAACATAACAGTCATAAGCCAGTCAGATTGGACGATTATTTACTTGGGGACGAATGTTAGCGATTTTGAATATTCGCGCCAGAGCCTATCGAAATATTTTAGTGTATGCTGCATTGTATCTAATGTCAGGCGAACGCAATGTTTGTGAATAAAGACATGTTCTTACTTTGCTAAACTTTGAGGTGAAAGCACTAAACTGGAAATAAAGAGAACTAGCGTAACACGAAAAGTTGTTGTTGTTATTATATATGTATTATATTAACGTGCAACTTTATTTCAGTTAGCCGAAGTTAAAGTATCAATATATTTGATGAATATAGTGTAAATGATAAAGTGAAGCGTCTATATAACGTTGTTTTGCTAAGTAAGGTATATTCTGAACATTCTCTAAAGAATCAAAAATATTAATACTTAAAGTGTATAAGGATATGTTGTTTGAATGCTAAATACAAAAATGTATTATGAAAACAATAAACCCCATTAGTGTGTCTATATTTTGTCAATACAATCAAACTGGAAGATTCATGGACCGATTCTGCCGCATAACAGAGAAATGTTACGGCATAGCTATGTTATGCTCCGACTTCCATACATTATGCGAATGAATCATACTGAATGCTGTCAAAATATCATGTATTTGCTGTTCATTCCGGCGTTTTATACATAAACTGCAACGTCACTCGTATGTTATCTAGTGGTATCAGAAACACACACTTATCTAACATCGTTTTTTTGACATTTGTGCAGCTTTTAGGTTATGTTTTGCATCAGAAAACCTGAGAAATTCGCCTGACTGAACACCAACCGCATAACTTTTGTCTACATTACTATGGAAAATTCTTCATAACATGACCTTATCATCAGAATCGGTCCCTCAATCAAAGTATTTTTTGTTCTTTCGACTTATTGATTACGTTTCTAGTTTTTCATATTTTTCTTGGATTCTGGATTTTGTGTAGAATTGTGAATAGAGAGAAGAGATAGAAAATAAATTAAGTATTTCTACTTTGACCTGCTTTTTTAAAAGTTTCCGATAACATTTGATGAAAAAAAGTAAAATTGATAAAAAGTATATTATATCTTATATGTAGCGCAGGGCGAGGCACAAAGGTCCCAATTTGACTTTGAGCAAATATAAACTATAATATGAAAACCAAACCAATTATATGACAACAAATAACACATTTCAAACGAACAATTATGTGACTGCGTTCAGTAAGAGTGCCAGGTACTTTATCATTGTAGAATAAAGCATCTTTCAAAAAATCGTTATCTAGACCTTTTTACCCTATAGGCGGAGTAACTTGGAACGGCCAGGTGGCAAACAGGTTTAATGTTATTTTAATTTTAAAGGTATTTTACTAACTAATTACATTTTTAATTAATGCTAAAAAGCTACCAACGGAAGAAAACACTTTTATTATGGATTTTCAAAGATTACCGTTTATATCCCGATAGTAAAGTCATGAGAATCAAGGCACATCTTTTTCCCTTCAGTCTTATATATTGTTGTTAAACAATGCTTTACTGGTTTTTGACACATCGGTGGTGGACCCTCTTAACCCCGGACCTTCATATATTACTATCTGTTCTTCGATAAATTGTGGAAAATTATAACTAGAAAAATGTTATTCGACAAAATGTCCCTTTGATCGATAACAAATTTAGGTTCTGAATCTAAATAACATAAATAAAAAATAATATAACCTAGAAAATGTTTTATAAATACCGAATAGTATATAATTATACTATATCTTTCAGAGCACAGTGTTTGAGAAAAATATTCATAACTAGCTGACCCGGTGAACTTCGTATCACATAAATAATCATTAATAAAAATTAATTAAATCTTGTATATGAAATAATTAACACATTTGGTTGGAATTAATGCGAAGCTTTCACATATACTATATTTTAATTATCAAAAATACCTTTTTTTATATTTCATATATAAAATATTTTATACATTTGCTTATGAATCGAATGTTTTAGACTCAATATAAAGCTTTTTTGTAGACAATATTTTTGGTCTTTTTTTGCGGTGCGTAAATGAATAAGGATGATGGTTTCCCGACGCGCGAACACGCAACGTATAATTGGCCGTGTGCGAAACATGGAAACTCTAAGTTGATACCGCAAACCTGCAGCGACTGTCCTTGCGATTTGTTGATGCTCATTGCAAAAGCGATGCGTATTGGAAATTGTAAACACCTGAAATCAAATCGTAAATCCGTTGGGATCATAGGAATTCACGGGAACAATACATCTTGTCCCTTGTATTTACCTTTAATTATTTTTGCCACAATTACATTATTCATTAGCTTTTTTATAACCAATCTTGTTCCATTGCATAGTATGGGCTGATTTAAATTACGTAGCATGATGACAACTGATCCTACTTTCAATTGTAAATTATGTGGTGGCAGCCCAGGCAATTCTAATGAATTTAGAAATTCTGTAGGATAGTTCAGTATGTCATCCTGATTTGTAGCGGTGTCTACAAATTTATAAGTAATGCATTCCCCTGGAAGTGAACTTTGTATTGTTGCATTGAGATCGTCGACATCTTTATTTTTTGCCGCCAATATTGCTCGTTCGCTCAGCCAATTGAGATCGTGAAATTGTTGGTTTATATCTGTAAATACGCATTGAATAAGCTCCTCCTTTGTGTTTGTGAAGCTACAAAAATCTGCGGGAAATATGATTAACCCCCATCAACTGCGACATTACCATTTCCAATATTTAGTAACTGCTTTGAAAACACTTTCGCTGTTTCATCTTGTTGCAAAACCACTCGCATGTTCGTTGTTAACTGCAGTTTCTTAACATGACGCCACAAATTTGATGATTTTAGGCTTGCGTTTAGTTCGTCAGCAACAGTTGATCGCGGTATAACTGGAAGAGTTTGGCGAAAATCACCTTTTTTTTTTTTTTTTTTGTTACAATTTATTTTTGTTAATCAAGACTTTAATGTCTTATTTACAAAATTGATATGAGCAAAAAAAAATACAAAAAAAACAAAAAATGCAATACATTGAACATAAAATGAAAAAAGTTAAATTAAAAATTAAATTAAAACAGTAATACAAAAATAATAACATAAATGAACGATGACGTGATGATGTATGCCGCGTACTACGTCAGGACGCGTGCAGACATTGGGCTAGGTATTTGGTAGATCGGAAGGCCATTTCTTGCTCAATCTTCTTATCGGTCTCTGAATCGCTTGAATTGTAGGATTTGTATGCTGGATTAATTTGTTGTTGAAAGATGAACTTCTAATCTTGATCATTTCGTTGACTGTTGAGATTTTCAAATCCTTATGTAGGCAAAAATTCGAAATATACCAAGGCGCATTAGTAAGGATACGCAGAATTTTATTCTGGCACATTTGAATGATGTTTATGTTAGATTTGCATGAGCAACCCCATAGTTCGATTCCATAAGTCCAAATGGGCACTATGATAGTTTTATACAAAAGTACCTTGTTATCGAGAGAGATTTCAGATTTCCTCCCAAAAAGCCAGTAAATATCTTTTATTTTCAGTTGGATTTGTTTCTTTTTATATTCAATGTGCGTTCTCCATGTCAATTTCGAATCAATGTGCATGCCTAAATATTTAACAGAATTGCATAGTGGAATTATTGAATTGTTCATGATGATGGGTGGACTGTTGTGATGTTTTAGAGAAACAATTATGTGCTGAGATTTTTCGATATTGATTTTGATATTCCAATCTAAAAACCATTTTTCGAGACTAGATAAATAATTTTGTAACTGACAAGTTGCTGTTCTAATATCGGAATTGCATGAAATAATTGCTATGTCATCGGCGTAAGTGCATATGGTTAGAAGATCATCTGTGGGCATATCGTTTGTGAAAAGAAGATAAAGTAGAGGGCTTAGCACACTACCCTGTGGTACTTCGCATTCTATATTTCTGATGCTCGAAGTCACATCTTTAATTTTGATTCTAAATTTTCTATTAAGCAAATATGAGCTTAAGATATTAAAGTAGTTTGGAAAAGTTGTTTTGATTTTATATAGGAGTCCTGAGTGCCAAACCTTATCAAAAGCCTGACTGACATCTAAGAATACGGCTACGCTGTGTTCCTTTCTATTCATGGCTTCAAGAATACGAGACACCGTTCTGTTGCATTGTTGAATTGTAGAGTGATTTTTTCTGAAGCCAAACTGATGGTGAGGAATCCAACTATCATTCGGATGATCTTCTGACAATCTCTGCAACAAAAGTCTCTCTAAAATTTTCGATAATATCGATAAAAGACTGATAGGACGGTATGAACTAGCAGTGTGATGGTTTTTGTTTGGTTTAGCGATCATAATAATTTCTGCAGTCTTCCACGCTGTGGGCCAATAATTGTATTGAAGTATGGCGTTGAAAATATTTGTTATATATAAAATACCTTTTGTAGGCAATTCTTTTAACATCTTTGGAGTAATTTTATCCATACCCGGCGAAGATCTATTTTTTATCCTTTTTATTTCTCATAAGACATCATTTGGTGAAAAATGTCCTAACGGTGTAGAATGTATGGGTTGATTTACGAAATTGTTAATTAAATTATTCTGGGAAATATTTCGAGCGCTAAAAATGCTACTTAGATGATCAGCAAACGCCTCCGCTTTTTCTTCGTTGCTTTTTGCCCAAATGAATCCGTTTTGGTTGGTTATTTTCAGAGGAGGGTTTTGTTGTAGGGGTTTACTTATGTTTCTGATTGGTTTCCATATGGAATTATCGTACCTATTTAGCTGCAATATATACGACCTGAATGTACAATTCTTCCATTCTTTCATTTTTTTCCTCAGCGTGTTATTGAGATGATTAAGCGATGTCTTATCCGTTGGTAGATGAGAATGTTGCCAGGTACGTCTTGCTCTTCGTTTCTGTGCAATTAGCTTCTTAATCTCTTGCGGAATTATTAGATTATCATTTCTTGGAATAATGTTCGGGGTGATCTGCTTGGTTGTTTCACGTACAATCTCAGAAAAATAATCTATATTATTTTCTATATCAATAACGCTTGTAGGCCTAGATTTTGGAAATAATTTTGAATCAAGTATGGATTTGAATTGAATCCAGTTAGAAAGATTGTTGTGTAGAATATGATTGTTGATAACTGGAGTAGGAAATGTGCTAAACGTCACAAGTATTGGAGAATGATCTGAAGAGAGATCGTAACTAGATTCAATATTGAGATTTGAAAGATCAATACCTTTCACAATAAAAAAATCTAAAAGGTCTGGAACTTTAGTAGGGTCAGAAGGCCAATAAGTTGGACTGCAAGTTGAAATAAAGGAGAGGTTATTTTGCCCTATGGCTGCATGAAGAATCTTTCCTTTGGCTGTAGTCAGTCTAGAACCCCAGGCAATATGTTTACAATTAAAGTCACCACCAATGATAAATTTATTACCTAATTGAGAGAAAAATGAAGAAAACTGAGCACAAGAAATTTTGAATCTTGGTGGACAATAAACAGCAGAAACACAAAAATTATATAAATTTGTTTCAACAGAAATTTGAGTTGCTTGTAGAAAATCATCAGAAATATTTGGTAGAACAAAATGTTTTATATTATTTTTGATTAATATAGCCGAACCGCCGCGAGCCCTGCCACTTGGGTGATTTGAATTATAAGTAGCGTAGTTATAAATTTTAAAGTAGTTTTTTTCAGTGAAGTGAGTTTCTGAGATTAATAAGATATCTATTAAGTTTAACTTTAAAAAACATTCTACTTCATTTTTGTGAGGTATTAAACCGTTGGCATTCCATTCAGCAATTTTAATTATTTTTGCCATTGCTTTTGTTGTTGACTAACGTGGATAACATATTTATTATTATGGTGTTCTGTTGCAAAAGCTGATTGAAGATATTTTTAAATTCTAAAATAAGTGTTGCTAGAGAATCAGAATCGGGATTTGAAGGTGAATGATTAGAAGCAGAGTAATTGTTTTTTGCAATGTCTGCATAGGATGAATTTTGAATTGTTGAATTTGAGGCCGGAGAAATGTTGTTTATTTTATTATTAGAATTAGAATTATTAGAATTTTTAAAATTTTGGTTATTTGGATTTGGATTTATGACTGATTCATTTACTGGAGATTTGTTTCTTTGTTCTTTAATTTTTTGGAAGTATGAGCAACCGCGATAATTAGCTGGATGAGCACCGTCGCAAAAATAACAACATGCCGGAGCATTCGGATCTTTGGTACAAGCTTTAGTATTATGATTATCACCGCATTTTAGGCAAGCAAATGGTCTATTGCAGTATTTTTTGGTGTGATTAAAGAGTTGACAGCGAGTGCATTGTATAATGTTGTTGGACTTTCTCGGTGGTTCGACGCGTATTATGCAGTTGAATAATTTATAAATGTTATAAATATTTTTGTTATTTCTATTTGGTTCCAGATCAACAAAAAACATATTAAGAGGTTCTTTTGTTATTCTATGTCTAATATTTAGGATATTACGTACGACATGACCCTGTTTTAATAGTTCTAATTTAATTGCATCTGTGCTTGTTGAAAAGAGTACATTTCTAAGAACAACCCTATAAGCCTTCTCTTCTTTTAATTGATATGTATGATATACGGCATTAGTTTCTTTTAGATGTCTGGATAAAGTTCGAAAATGGTCGACAGAATTACATAGAATTTTAAATGTATTGTTAGCTAAACTTCTCAGGAAATATTGATCGTGCGGAATTATTTCATTTAATTGATTAGACATATCATTAATATCGTCAACTCCGTAAATAAATATTGGAGGGGGCTTACTGACTGGAGCCGGTTTAACTGAGTTGTTATCATTAGCTGTGTCTATTGTTGAAAGGGCCGAAAATCTGTTTTGAATTTTGACATCTATTCCTAATGGTTCAAATGAAGTTTTTCTTTTTTTGAAATTGACTACTTGCCATGAATTAGGAAATTTCTTGACATCAGAATGTGGTTGAGAGAGGCTTGTAGATGCATTATTACTAGATGATATTACTTCCTGCATTGAGTCAGTAACTGATGAAGTTGAACGCAGCGAGATCTTTTCCGATGTAAACATATTAGTCCGACCTTCCTCGCGAGGTATCTTGCTGTATTTGCTGGATCCAATAACGGTCCTTCGTAGTTTTGGGATTTCTGATGGTTTACTGTCCGATTCCATATTCGCTTCTATATCTTGATTGAAATGTAAGACATTTTTTTGATTCCACAAATGCACATTAGAGTCTCGATTATGTATGGTTTTTTGTAAGCAATTATTTAATTATCTGTACACTTTTGTAAGCTTTTCATGCAATTTTAATAAACCGTAAAATTCAAACTGACATGCACTTGTTTTCAATGTTTTAATCGAAAATCACCTGACAACAAAATCATTGCTCCACCAAAAATATTTTGATTGTCACGCAAATCTTTCAGTGTTCTGTCCAGTGCTTCCAGTGACATCTTGTGAGCCATTGTACATTCGTCCAAGATAATCAATTTACATGTCTGAAGTATCTTGGCTATGGCGCTAGTTTTTCTGATGTTGCAAACTGGTGTTTCATTGATTTGCATATTATTAATGCTGAATGTGCAGTTCGTCCAACTTCTAACAATGTTGCTGCTATTCCTGATGATGCCAATGCTAGAGCGACGTTATTTTGCGATCTGATCTTTGCCAATAGCAATGATAACAGGAATGTTTTGCCAGTACCACCAGGAGCATCAAGAAAAAAAATCCCTCCGGATCCACTGTTCACTGCTTGTATCAAATCATCATATACAATCCTTTGATGATCATTCAACTTTGGAACAGTTGTGCGAACTATTTCAGTCAATGTTTTAATATCATACTGTTGCTCTCTTCTTAACTCATGGTTAAATGCATCTTCTACACAACGGTTTGGTGCTGTTAGGCCCAAACATGATAATATTTTATTCGCCATCAATAAACACATATCCTCTATCATGATCAAAGTTTTATTATAAATTTCTGCAGTAATTTGTAGTGCTGGATTGAATGTTTGACAACGCGCACTATGTAAAATATCCTCAGACATGTCATCTCTGTATTTGATCCACAAATCTTTCGGATTTGAGGAAAAACATGTTGAAATTATAATCGCAAACAATGTACGCACTTGATGCGGAGATGAGGATATTACGGCATCCTTGAGCGTATTATCCCAATGCGAATCGTCTTCGAGCAACTGCAACATGTGACATGCTTCACGGTAAGTCGCACAAAGATGTCCATCAACTGTTTTCAATTGTTGAAATGATGTCGGTCCAGGAACATTAACCAGCAATAACCTAAGGTAGTAACATTCATCATTATTTGGATGTACTGTATAAATGCGCCCTATAGCATCTGTAGCAAATATATTTGGATATCCTTCAACCGGTGTTCCTTTTTTACGACGTTGAAACGACTTCGATGATGCGTTCCATGTGTAATAGCGCGGCATATCAGCATACATCAAAGTACGGGCGAAATCATCTCTTTGACAAATTGAAAAGAAACTTGTTAATGTTGCTGGAGGTGGATGCGCCGCTCTATCAACAGCATTAACAGGGTTAAAATATACTCTTTGTCCATTTTCTAAATGGACTGCCAAATGGACTTCAGAAGGGTGTCTTTCATGTATTGGGAAAGAAAAAATTCTCCAAATTGCTTCATTGCTACTTACGTAGCGACCCATCTGATACTCAGAAACTTCATCATTTGTTTTAGCAACAGCGAACATGGCCTGTTTTATATATTTTTATTGATTTGACAGAGTTACAAAATTCTACATTGATGTGTGCTTGAAAAGTTTTGGATAATATCGGGGAGTACGGCACAATCCATCGGTTGTCAACATATAAATCTCGTCCTTTTACCTTCACAACTACATATTGCCCACCATCCGCAACTGATTGCCTTCGATACAGCGGATAACCGTCATTTCCAGTAATGGTTTCAGCAGTTAGATTTCTCGGGTATCGTTTAGAGCACTTGCCGTCAATCATACAGGTCGAGCTATCGTTGAAAACTCCGCAAGGTCCATGTATTATATGTTTAGTAATTATTGCATGCAAATTTGGATCAACATTTTTATTAGGAATCTCTGCTGATATGACTGAATCAATATCTTCTGGCCTCATTTTGTCAATTAACCAGACTAAGATGTGCGCATGTGGAAGACCACGCTTTTGCCACTCAACTGAGTACATCCAGCAACGTACTTGGCCATATACATGATGCTTTATTATGAAATTCAACAAATATTTCAATTTTTGTTTAAAAACTCTGGCAGTAATATCATGTCTATCTCCTGGTGTTTGGTCGTGTATCAATTCTTTCTTAATTTCTATCCATTTCGGGTTACATGTGAATGTAATGAATAGATCAGGGCGACCATATTTTCTAACATTTCTAACAATGACATACATTGCATCTTGTGCGTAATCGTGCATGTGGCGCGGGCTTCCAATGTAGGTAGCCGGCAAAATTGTCATTTTACCCACATTGTTTGCATTACCATCGGCAATAATAGCATCACGAAGATGGATGTATTCTTCAGATCGAAGGTGCTGTTGGTTTAAGCGTATGTATGTTAATCGCTCAGTCTCAATTTTGACGTACATGTCAACAGCGAACTGTTGAAAAAGTCGTTGACACATCAAAATGTGGTTTATTTCACCATCACGGATCATCAGCCTGTATGAATAAAAATTCATAGCGCTAACTTTTTTATTGGTTTCAGCACCTAAAATCACAAATAATAATATAGATATTGAGTTAAAAAATATTATTTAATTATGTTTATAATTGCCTGTTATTGGATTAACCATTTTGACACTAAAGTGATACCCATCTTCTCCCTGCCAGAAGATTAACGGATATTGTAAAGCATCATAAGACCTATGAGTTTCGGACACGCGCCTTAATTCATTGTTTCGGCGGTGAAGCACAATATCTCTTGATTGCATATATTCTCCAACAACGACTATAGCCACTTCATCAATTGTAGGTGAATTAAATCTTCCTGCATGCTCACCAGCAGGTGTTTTGTCAGCTCTTATTACAATATTATGGCTGTCTGATGGCATTCGATCAAGTGCCACTTTGAATAAATTTACTAAACAATTGTTGCGATGAAGAAACGTTTGCAGTTGTTGGACAACGGATCGCTTTACTGATGGATTATGAGTACAACGCGTATTAACTTCAGCGTCCTGATTGCCTAGGAAATAAATTTGTAGGAATTGATGATCTACATCTGGTAATGGCAGCAGTGCCCCCAATAGGTGATGAATTTGTCCTTGCACCTTGTAATTTTTTATGACATTTACAATTTATTTTTTATACAAATACAAATTAACATGAGAAACATTATGATATATTACCTTGAACGTCGGCATGAAATTGTTCTGTACTATATGCGGTGCTCCGAAAGATGTCATTTGGAAGCAGTTATTATATTTCTGGATGTTGGATAAGAAGTGTTTAGAGTCATTTGTCATTCCAAAAATTAGTGAGTGTAATGGATCAGGTGGTGGTACCAATTGTGGCAACTTCACCTTACCGCCAGCACAACATAGTCCTGCAGATTCACCATTGTATTTTAAGGCTTTACAGTGCTGACAAATGATCGACATGTCTCCAATTTTTACAAATTTGTGGGCACTGTAATCTATTTCCGGATCATAAGAGAATGCTGCTCGCTCCAGGTTGACTGAAGCATTGCTTCTGCGAATTCGAGAAGTTTCATTTTCGCGTGTGATCGATTTGCAGCAACTTGTTCTCTAAACTCAAGCAAATCTGTCATTGCAATCTGGCTATCATTATTATCAGTCTCCATCTGCCCATCAGTGCGGTTATTACGCGAATTACGTTTTTGGCGTGTTATTTGACTTCTACGACCAATGTCAGGTCTATTTCTTCTCGGCATCGTGAACAGCTGGTATCAGATTTATATAGTATAGATACTACTGTATATAGGGTTTGTGATTCTCCTAAATCACACTAAAACACTATACTTTTTCAGTAACTCTGTATTCGAGTTAGTGATTCTCCTAAATCACACTAAAACACTACACTTCTTTAATAACTCTGTATTCTCACTATCTTTCACAATAACTTTGATTCGGCATTAAGCTTCAAACCATAGATAAAAGAAGAGTAATCAAACAGAGCATTAATCCTTAAGTTAACTAATCAACCAATATTACTTATATTATAGCTAACTTCATACATCAATGTTCGCACTGATGACCGTTGCATTCAAATTTAACTTATTACTAACATAAGCTTAAAAAATGTATAAAACCGAAAACTTAAAAAATAACTCAAACACATAGGAAAAAATGAATTTGAGAAAACATGATGCACATAGGAAAGTAATAAAAAGATTCAATAATAATCAAAGTAACACATAATCATAATTTTCCTCAAAGCTTTAATTTTTTTAGCTTGTTTCTTGTTCTAATTCTTAAAATATATTAAAAAATTCCATTAAATTAAATAAAATGTAAAAAACTTTAAAACAAATAATTAGTAAAAATTCGTTGCTTGAAATTTATAACACTACATTTATGTAAAATGTATGTTACCAACTTAATATAATAGTATCTATAATATATTAAACTGTGCATTCATTCTAAATATTAACACTAAATATGAAGACAATATAAAGCTATAACAATGCATCTCTAGGTGATAAATAATACAAAAAACGATATATATTTCTCAATCTTTATTATAATAATATATATTAATTATATTTATAAATATTTTCGTTCAAAATATAATCAACTAATAAAAAATTTTATCAGCTATGTAAACATTAATCTATTGAAACATTAAAGAATTTTCAGAAACGTCAAAAAATGCATAGTACATTTTTTTTTACTGAATGTATTAGTACATTTGTTTTTACTGAATGTATATACAAATAAAGAAATTAGACATTAGTAGTAATTTATTGTTCAAAGAATTTTGTTTGAAATAATTTAGTAGTCGACAAATTTCTTCCTCAATGAAATTAGTATTTCTTCTGTAATATCGCATGACATAAATGTATATAAATTAATAAGCAATAAACAAATAACAAATATTGTTTAAATTCATCTTATTATTTTTCTCTATTAATTATATAATCAATAACCTTCTTGGAGTTGTAAATGATTATAATTTAGCTTATTATCAGTAAGTTGCAATTTAAAAATTATTTTCCGTGAAATGCTTTATGCTGAGAGTTCTCCGGCTTGTTATATAGCTATAGAAAATGGACATTTTTTCTTTCTCAATTTGCTTTCACATATTCACATTTTTAACATGTGTTCATATTGTAATAAATTTCAATATGTTTGTTTTGACTTTCTTTTTTTGCAATCGTGTATCCAAATTAGTGGCATCTTTGTTATCACCATGACTTGTAAATAGTATGTTCGGGAAGTAATTGGAAAAAGACCCGATCAATAACAGCATTAGTATCTGAACAAAATAAAGAAAATTCTGTATGTGGGATATGTTAAAATATTTCATTTTTTTTATTGTAAATTGGAATGCTGGAAAAACTTTTTTCTGTACACGACCTATTTGGATGATGAAATCATGTAATATAATGCAAGTTCGTACTGCTGATATTAAGCAATTTTCAAACAACTTTGTTTCCGAAGATCTGTGATTTCCGAAGATTACTATCTGTGTTATAATCCAATTTTCTTATTCATATTGCTGTCTATTATAACTTGAAATAAGTGATTAGACAGAAATGTCTATGGAGGCCCCATCAATGAATTTCAAATTTAGGATTTCAATTTGAATAATCTAAATGCTATAATAATATAATTCATAAAATGTTTTGGTAACAGATTTTTTACAATTGTAATGAAAAATTTGTATTGTAAATAGATTGTACTGTAAATATTTGTAATGATTACTTCCATATCTAATTAAACTGCACTTATGTTGATGTCACATGTCATAAAGCGATCTTCATAAGCAATTTTCTAACAACTTTGTTTCCGAAGATCTTGTACTTGTATGTACACATAATTGAGATTTTTATGAATATGATTTCTAAAATTACTATCTGTGCTATAATCCAATTTTCTTATTCATATCGCTGTCTATGGTGTCCCCTTCGATGAATTCCAAATTTATGATCTCAATTTGAATAATCTATATGCAATAATAATATAATTCAGAAAATGTTATGGTAACACATTATTCACATTAAACCAATAAGTACTTGCACAGCACAGCGTTTGAAACAAATTTATTTATTTATTTTTTCATAAGCAAGCCTTAATCAATCAATAATAATAGTATTATTTCAAGCTGTTGATAAAAGAATACAAATAGGCAGTGAGCAAACACTCAAAACAATAAAAACCTCATATAAAATCAAAATAAGCATTCTTATTAGCATTTAAAAATATATAAATAATTAAATTTTAAAATTAATAGAATAACACATAATCTGTTCCAACTTGACAATCATTTATTTGACACATGAGTAGGCGATACTCGATACATCTGTCATTTGAATAATATTGTGCGGGAAGCCATTTTGAATCAAGTGCTGTTTACCAAAAATTTTCAAATTAAAAATGTAAAGTTTCTACGCAAATTTGAAATATTATCTCACCTTTTGGACAATCTCTGGATTGGCAGAAATTTTTCAAGACTAAGACTGGCCAAATCCATTCAGCCGTTTTCGAGTTTTATTCGGACATTTGAAAGACAGCTTCATTTTTAACTTCCCGAAGGAGAAGTTTATGTTTTCATCAAAAAATCCGATTCGCTAATTTTATGTTTTCTCGACGTTTCAAGCCATTCTGAATCGAATGAGACCAAATTTGGAAAAAGTATGTGTGTGTGTTGTGTGTATGTGAACAGATTTTTTGCCGTAAATCGACGTTTTCTCGAAAACGGCTGGGTAGATTTTAAAAATTTAAAAGCCATTCGATGTATCTCGACGAGAACTATTGTTTGTCAGTTTTGTACGACGATCGGCCAAGCCGTTTTTTTATAAATGGCAGAAAAGTGAAAAATTTTTCGTCTACGTTTTAGCCCGCAATTCTGAATCGATTTTGAAAATTCAAAAACCGTTCGAAAGATATTGGTTGGGAATCGTGCTGATTAGTTTTTGGTAGAGATCGGCCGGGCCGTTTCCTTGTAATAAAGTTTTAAAAAAAAAAAATTCGACGATTTTTATGATTATTTTTTTGACGATAGATACCATAGTCTTCTAGATCATACTAAAATATTACGGCCCTACGACAACTGGTTCAGCTTTAAAAATTCGTCAAAGTTTGCAAAAATCAGTATGGTCTTTTTGGCATTTGTCAAAATTAGACTTTTGATCGACGTTTTCTCAAAAACGCCTGAACCGATTTTAGAAATTTAAAAGCCATTTGATGTATTTCGGTGAGGACTATCGTTTGTCAGTTTTGTGCAACGATCTGACAAGCCGTTTCTTTGTAATTCGAAAAAACTTTTCGTACACATTTAAGCTCATCCTACCGAACCGATTTTAAAAAATCAAAAAACTGTTCGAAAGATATTAGTTGGGAATGATACTGATTAATTTTAGGTGAAAATCTACCGAGCCGTTTTCTTGTAATTAACTGTTGAAAAAAAGTGTTAAATTTTCGTCGACATTTAAGCTCATCCTACCGAACCGATTTTAAAAAAATTAAAAACTGTTCGAAAGATATTAGTTGGGAATGATACTGATTAATTTTAGGTGAAAATCTACCGAGCCATTTTCTTGTAATTAAACTGTTGAAAAAAAGTTTAAATTTTCGTCGACATTTAAGCTCATCCTACCGAACGACCGATTTTAATAATCTCAAAACTGTTCGAAAGATATTAGTTGTGGGAATGGTACTGATTAATTTTAGGTGAAAATCTACCGAGCCGTTTTCTTGTAATTAACTGTTGAAAAAAAAATTTAAGCCGATTTTCATGGCACTTTTTTTTGCGATATCATCATGGTCTTATAGTAAATTACTGTAATATTATGGCCTTACGACAA